GGGCCGAGCCGGGCCGTCCGGGTGCGCTCGGGCGCTGCGGGTTTGCCGTGTGCTGTAGGAAATGCGTTTAAAGGGGCGCGCGTAGAATGTTAAGCTCCTAAAATAAATGCTCTGGCGTCGCGTGGCGTTCGGGCGGTTGTAACCAGAAAGGTATAATAGGCTTCCTTTCTATATTACTGTGCAGATAGTCCTCTAGAGGTAATCCTGGGATAATCCCTGCGGATAATCGCCCAGGGGTCTATACACTATAGACTGAAAACAAGTGACTTAAGGTGTGAGGAAGGCAACCTTGTTAATTAGCTTCCTACCGCTTCCATCTCTAGTGAGGTTTCTCTGGTAGGAACCAGTGGTACAGGTTTGGAAATGGTGAAATTGGTGATGATTTTATACCGAGTCAGGAGCAGATGCTTCAGAGATGCAAAGACCTTGTGGACTGTGACACTGAAAACAAGTTTCTCACATGGTGGTTCAGTGTGATGCTTCGATTAGGCTCCCACACTTTACATGAGTTGTCTTGGAGAGGTTATCTTTGGAATCCGGAGCAGTCAGTTGGTCAAGGTGTCCCGTGGAAGTTGAGATGCACAGTCATTTAAAGGTCTTCACATAGTGCAGGTCTGACCCCATATACTGAGCCTTTTTCCCAGGGGTGGTTGAGGCTTTAGCTAGGTCAGTTCTTTATTTTGAAGGGTGCTGTTAGGATAAGGCAATACTCCTGCTTGTGATCCAGTAGATCAGTCATTGGCAACCTCACCAGGATGAAGGAGACTTGGGTACAAATTTCACACTGGAACTGTGAGAGGTTTTATTGTGTGCCTGGAAAATGCCTGGGCTGACAAATCACCACTCGAAAGATCTGTTTGGGATATTTAACTGACAGTGTAGCAGTGTTGTCAATTCTTGGCCAATTGTTTGTAGGCTCATGAAGAGGCACCTGTGCATCAGTCAGTATTAAATGTTTTATTTTCTGGTTTTTTAAGCTTGTAGTCACCAGAGAATTTGCTGTCTGATCTAACATCTGTATCTTGCATGTGAAAATCATGGTGATACAGTACAGGATGGTCCACAAGTTTCAGCTGTGTTCATTTCAGGGACAAAGGATTGTCCAAGAAGTTTAGGTGATGATGCGATTAAGACAGAAAATCACTGCTCTCATCATCTTTCTGGTCTTATCAAAGTTATTTTAGCATCAGATGTTTGCTTGACCTGTTTTTGCATGAAGTCCAAAGCATAGTGGTTTCTTTGAGTTCTTTGGAAATGCAGGCATTTAAACACCTGATTAGACAGTATTGTGGTGATGGCATAAAATATGACCTGAGTGTTTTATGTCTAAGACAATATTGAGGCTATAAATGCTTTTTTTTTTTAAATCAATACAGAGTTTGCTTTCTAAAGCACAAGGAATAGGTTCCAGCTCAGTCAAACTTCGAGGGAGCTCACTGTTTGTGAATGTTGGGAAATCAGAGAAGCAAGAAGATGATTTTAGACAAACACCTCATGTGAACATCAATCCCTTCACTCCTGATTCCATGTTCCTTCACAACTCTGACAGAAAATGCCGTAGGAGGAAGAGAACACACTGGAATGAGTCAGTAACTTGTAGCTTTCTTTGTTAAAACTGTATTTCAAACTAGTCTGAGCTGCAAAAGTTGTGTTACAAATTGGTTCTGTGAAGGTATTTATACTTGCAAATTGTTAGCAATGTATAATGCAGCTCTGAAAGTATCTGCTTTGAGATGTAAGGTGTCGTGAAATAACCACTTGGCACCAGATCTTTTAGTTAGTACACAGAGAGGGTAGACTGGGCTGTGTCCTACACTCCCTTTGCCTCACAGAATGAGCTGTGCACACAGGCTTTGCTTGAGAAGGAAAAATCTGCTTAAAATGCTAGTGTGAAACATGAAGAAAGAAATGACAAAGATATTAGGATGATACTTTTATATGTTGGTGCTTACAGCTGTCTAGCATTCAATTAGTTAAACTAAAGTTAGGTGGAATGGGAGAATTAGGTCTGGGAACAAATCAACAGCTGCTAGACTTCAGTTGGTATTTCTGCATAAGTAACTGTGTGAATTTCAGCTCTTGTGGAGAGGAAATGGAAGCAAGTGATGGAGAGCCTGAAGATGAAACTATGAGACCTGCTAAGGTAATTAAACTTTAGAACTTGATACTTACTTTGGCAGTTTGTGTATCTGCAGATCCAATATTTTCCTTTCTAATCTTTGCAGAGGATAACAATAACAGAAAGCAATATGAAGTCACGGTATGCCACCGAGTTTCATGAACTGGAGAAGATTGGATCTGGCGAATTTGGGTCTGTGTTTAAATGTGTGAAGAGGTTAGATGGCTGCATTTATGCCATAAAGAGATCCAAGAAACCCTTAGCTGGCTCTGTGGATGAGTGAGTACTTCTGCTACTGAAGCTAAATGTCACCTCTTAGTGCGTTTTCCTCCCACATCTCTCGTGTTGGTGTCTAGAGAAGGAATTTAAAAATACAAAGCATGAAGTAAATGTGAAACAGTTTTGAAGTAATTTTTTTAATTTCCCACTCACCCTGCTGAGCACCGTGGAGAAAAGGATAATTGGCCTTTCTCCTAGCAGATATTTGTCCCAGTATTCTGTGTGGAAACACTGCTCACCTGGAAAGTAAGAGTAATGCTCACTTGCAGCGGTGCCAGGAGGGACTGTAGGAATATAGGTGGTGGTGATCCCTTGAGAGATGAAAGGAAAGCAATATTCCCAACTAGGTTCTTGTCAGTTTGAGTGATGTGCAGATAAAAGTCAGTTTGAGAGTCCTTTTTAACATTTGTGAGTGTGCCTGTGATTCATGACTTTTCCCCCCCACTCATCTAATAGCTAAAATACAGAACTCCACAAGTCTGAGCTGCACAAAGTTGCCTACCACACTTGTACACAGGAGGTTAGGAGTGTTGAGTTCAGTCAAACTCTTGGCTTGTAGGCATTATTTTTTTCCTAAGACTTCAGTGATGCATCTCAAAGCTTGCTATTGCTGCTGGTTGGCAAGGATGTGATGGAGGTGGCAGCTCCCTTGGGGATTTTCTGCACCAAACCCTGTCTTCTGATGTCCATATCCTTAGTCTTTTAACACACTATAAATTGTTTTAGATGTTTGGATATAAGTACAAATCTGTCTTAAGGTGCCACAGAACTGAATATGGAGAATTTAACACTTATTCTAGTAAGAAATTGTACTCATTTCACCTCATAACTTGTGTGCTGTTGGTTTTTGTGACTGTAACAGGCAGAATGCTTTAAGAGAGGTCTATGCACATGCAGTTCTGGGGCAGCACTCGCATGTCGTAAGGTACTACTCTGCGTGGGCGGAAGATGATCACATGCTTATACAGAATGAATATTGTAATGGTAAGGAAAGTTTATTGTTTGTTCTGAATTTGCTTTCAAAAAATCTAATTTTTGAAGGTGTACAGGTATCTGCAAATTCTCAACACTAGGTAGGAACTGATTGCTCTACTCCTAGCTCATACTGCCTTTCTCAAGTGTCTGTTCCTTTCTGTTGGAAAAGGTATATCAGATAAATGAAGTAAAAACTATACAGAATTCAGACCAAGTCATACAAGTTCAAGCACGTTGGCAGGGCAGTGAGGCACTTGGGAGCAGCAAAACTGTTCTTCTGTACAGTAGTATAATCTGGAATCGGGCAAATTGCTAGTGAGGAGGTAGACCTGATTTCTGGAAACTTTTTGCTCTGACTGATACCCTGCCAGAGATTTGGAAGAGGGAGAGAAACCTTTTCCCTGGTGTTATGCTGTTAGCTTGCATGGCAACTATAGCAGAAAAGGATTTTATTGTATTGCATGGCTCTGAAGAAGGGACACGGCACTAGATTTTACACTTGCTGTGTATCATCAGCAAGTTCCTATTGATACAGTCACTCAGTTTTTGAGAGGTATTGTCATCACTTTGTCAACTGTTTGGCATAAAACCCCAAGCTGTTTCCTTTCCTGTTGATGTAGGTGGCAGCTTAGCTGATGCCATCAGTGAAAATTACAGGAACATGCGTTATTTCACCGAGCCGGAGCTGAAGGACCTGCTGCTTCAGGTGGCTCGAGGTTTAAAGTACATTCACTCAATGTCACTGGTACACATGGATATCAAACCAAGTAAGTCTGTAAAGTACTTTGCTTTGTATTGGAAACTTCCTCCAGTTAGTTTAATCTGCTGTTAAAAAAAAAAAAAAAAAAGCAGTTAGCCACGCCTTACTAACTGTAAATTCTTCACTGGAGTTGTGAATAGCAGGACAAAGATGTCAGTTGTGAAATTGGCTGGCAGACCTAAACTGTTGAGTTTATCTTGGGTCCTTTTTGTGTAATTGGCTCTGCTTGCATAACGCTTGGCCGCGCTCCCAGCAGAGGGGCCACAGCTAGTAAGCTGTAATTTCTCACTCTGTGAGCTGGATATGTGTGCAAATAAAACTTGTGTGTGGTTAAAGAAAACTGGAGAAATTAGGTGAATTCGAAACTGTGCAGAAATGGTTTTTAACAATTCTGCTCTTTTTCAGGTAATATTTTCATATCTAGGACATCAGTGCCAAGTTTAACTGTGGAAGAAGGTGACGATGACGACTGGGTGTCTGACAGAGTCATATTTAAAATAGGTGAGAAGCAGCACACTTGTGCGCAGAGGAATTGGCATCACCCAGCTGTCCTCTGAGAAAACCTTGTGTTCTTTTTCCAGGTGACCTTGGTCATGTAACTCGAGTATCTAGTCCACAGGTGGAGGAAGGTGATAGCCGTTTTCTTGCGAATGAAGTCCTACAAGAGGTACCTGTTGTGTTTGTGGAAAACGGTGATGTTAGCTCTGCGTGCTGTTTCCTTCAGAAAAGTTAGTATTTGTCTTTGTTTTTTTCCAGAACTACACCCACTTGCCAAAAGCAGATATTTTTGCTCTTGCTCTGACTGTTGTCTGTGCTGCTGGTGCTGAACCACTTCCAACTAACGGGGACCAGTGGCATGAAATTCGACAAGGAAAACTACCCAGGATACCACAAGTGCTTTCTCAGGAGTTACTGGACTTACTCCGCGTAAGAGCTCTTGCACTAGTGGCTCACTGATTCCTGTCATTTCTGTGTTGTTGGCCTTGACAAGAAGGCCTTACGCCTTTTTTTTTCCCCCAGGCTATGATTAATGCTGATCCAGAGAAAAGGCCTTCAGCTGTGGCACTGGTCAAGCACTCGGTGCTTCTCTCTGCCGCAAAAAAGAGCGCAGAGCAGCTCCGGATAGAGCTGAATGCTGAGAAATTCAAAAACTCACTCTTGCAGAAGTAAGTAGTTCCTTGGGATCCTTAAATATGGCTGGGATCCTTAAATATTTCTGAGAGGTGTTCATGTGAGAGTAAAGTGCTGATAGCACAGGACTGTCCTTGTTTCTGCACATCTGTATGCGTGTACATACCCGAGAGTGCAAAGTGGGTCATGTAACTTTACAAGGAATTTTCTCCATGGAGGGAACTGCTTGAACACACTGAGGGAATCTCAACAACACTATTAGTGTTCAGGCTGTAAAAAACATTTCAGTTTGGAAAACGTGTCTCAAGCACAACACATAATTTTTTGACAGGTAGAGTGTAACTTAGATCTCTATTTTTTGAGTCCATGTTTTCCTAGGTCATCTGGACATTAAAACATGTTGGAAAACGTGACTTAAATGACCTGTTTTGGACTCAAATAAAATGGCACATCAGGAATATTTTTGGACTAATGTGACTTACTGGGTTACCAGAGAACCATTTGTATCAGGGGGTCATCTTGCAATACCCCTTGCTCAGATGCTCTGCTCTGAATTGAGAGTCTCTTTGGGAAAGTCTGATGTTGTCTTCAGTGTCAGAGTTAGTAAATTAAGAAGCAATTGTCTGAATCTCACTGCGGATAACTTTGCATGTGTTATGCATAATAGGCTTTTAGGAGGAAATAGAGAGCTCTGATTCCTTTGAGTGGCTAGTTTTGAATGAAGATGCTAAGTTCACCTTTGGGTTCGCTCCAGAGACGTGTTCACAAGCTCCCTGCTTGTCTTGCCATTGCTACAGTCTGAACACAGCCAGAAATAGCAGGTTAGATGATTATCTTTATAATCTGCTTATGAATTACACTGAAAGAGTAACTTGACAGTGGAGGTTGTTAAAGGACAGATTGCTGAGGTAGGTTACTTACTTGTGTAAAGACATAGTTTTGTACCACATGAAAGAGAGCTGTCAAAGCTAGTGTTCTGTGAACTCTGCTTCTGTCCTGGTAGCAGGTAGGATACATCCTTACAAACCTGCTGTAAATCCAAGAATGGTTTGAAAAGAACACTTACTCACAGCAGTTTTTAATGTTGTCTGGCACAGGGGTCTGTAAAAGAGTTCAGGGAGTTATTTTGGGTTGGGTTTTTTTTGTTTTGTTTATTTTGGGTTGGATTTTTTCGTAGCATTCCTCTATTTGACCCATTTAAGATACCACTTGTGTATGTAAGTTGTCTTCAGTGAAAAGAATCTTTTAGGGGAAACTCAGCTTTTCTACTGTGTCATCCTCTTCAAAGGAAGGAAGAATTCAGGCATTCAAGACTTCTAGGGGAAGAATGGAAGTACATTGTAAAATATAATGGTGTGGTGTTTGGGTGAGAACGTCATGTGCATTTGTGACTGATGCTCACAAGGAAGAGAACCTACAAAGTGGTTGTGTTCTCTTGCAGTGAGCTGCCCCAGTGATAGTGAGGGGATGATTAGATGGGGCATGGGTGTTAATGAATAATACGTGGGGAACGGCTTGTTAAGCTAGAACATGTCACTTTAAATACACCTACACCAATATGCTTGTGAAACTTGGTCTTGCTTTGCAGTCCAGAGATGAAGTGAGATTACACATACTAGCTCTTGGAGTAGAGAAAACTCTTCGATGGATAGTTTGAGATAGGAGAAGGAAAGAGAGTATGGGAGAGTGCTCAGCTTAGCAACATGTCAGTATTTGAGGCAGGGAGGAAAGCAGTGTGTGGGGAAACCCTTTACAAAGATAGCTTTGCTCTTCTGTCTGGCTATTTTATAGTTTTATTCTGAGTTTTATTTGACTTTGTCCTCAGACTAGATATTGGAAATTTTCTGAAACAGAATCATTGGCAGAAAGCTGCACGGGACAATGGCCTGTGCTACCTTCAGTGACTCAGCCTGGCAGCCTCAAATCTTTGTTAGGCAAGAAGGTGGTGATAAGCTTTTGTTGTGGGTATGCAAAAGGGAAAGGATGCTTCCTGAGTTGTCTGTTGCCAGTTATGTACATTTGTGTTCATCCATGGTTGGAGTCTCCCGCAGAAGTTCAGTTGTGGCTGAATATGCCTAATTTGGGCAAACCTCAGTAATTAACTGTGATCTAACATACAACTCGTGCGAGGAAGTGAACAGCGTCCTGTTGTGTTCTGGTAGTGGAAGTGTTGAGCTGCTGGATTTCAAAACAGCTGTGGGAATTTGTCATTCCCTTCCCTTGCTTCTCAATAGAGAGAACATCTAGCCAAGTAATGAGCATCCCAGTTCTGTCCTCCGGGTTGTGGACAGGTGGATGTGAATGATAATGACCTTAGTATGCCCTGAGCTGACAAGTCTGAGGTTTGGAACTGCTGCAGTTGTTTGAAGCTCTGTTGCTGTGTAGTTCCCTGCAGGTACTGTTGGGTGTGATAACTGTCAATGTCTTGCAGGGAGCTGAAGAAGGCACAGATGGCCAAGGCTGCAGCTGAGGAGAGAGCACTGTACACTGACAGAATGACCACAAGATCTGCCACACAAAACAGACCATCTCGACTCATTGGGAAGAAAATGAATCGCTCACTTAGTCTCACTATATACTAACTATAAAGTCTAAAGGAACTGCTGAGGTGTTTGTAGCCTCTCTGCTGGACTGAAGCCTAAGGAACTGAAGGAAGCATTCAGTTCTGGATTCTTGTCCTGCCTCTGATTGGTGTCACTAGTTTTACAGCATTGGTTTTGGGTTTTACTTGTGCTGTATGGCTGACCATAGCTGTATTAACCATTTGAGTTAAGGGGCTTGGTTACTCTCTTGCCTCTAGAGGATCCTGGATGTTAATCCTAAGCCTTTCGGTTACACTGTTGTATGTTACATTGTCCCAGGGTTAACCACTATTGTGGTGTGCTGCTTTGTAGTGTTACTGCATTGTCATGAGAAGCAATATCCCTAATCTTTAAGAAGGAGGGAAGGGCCTTGCTTTGAGAGTTTTTTGGAGCAGAGGGGAATAAGTTTTTCAAAACAGGCTTTATGGCCAACTACACTCAATGTACCTGGTGTCAGGTAGACTTTTGTGAATTTTATTTGTATATTCAACTGGGAGCACTTTGTAGGCATTGCATAAACCACAGCTTAGAAACCTGTGGAATTAAGTGCCATGTGGAACTGCTGCTATTTTTAGTTCCTTGTCCTTGCTGTAAACTGTAGCATTAAAACAATCATTATTGTTAGTAGGCTTCTTGTTAAAACAATAGAGTGAAACAAGCGTAAGCTGCACTTTAGTGAAGGCAGCAGTTTTCTCTCAAAGCTAGTGCATTGTCAAATAATGCACCAATGTAATATTTGGACCCTGTTTTAGTGTAGTGCAATTGTTAATGTCTTTGCTATTGATGTTTTATAATTCTTTCTAATAAGGTTCTTCAAATGTTTGTATTTTCTTGAGTTGCCCAATCTTGAGGCCATTATATGTTTGGTTTTTTTATGTTGGAGTACTTGTAAACAGTTGTTTAGTGTATTCAGGTTTTTTTCGTTGTTTATGTACACAAGTTTGATCATACTTATAGTGTATTATAGTGAAACTGCAGTCTGGGATGCCAACAGACACAGGTAAATGCTCGGTTTGAGTTCCAAAATGAACTAATGTGGCCATCAGAACCAGTGCTGACACTGAAACTAGGCTGACACAACAACTGTTCTGATTACTGGCTAGTCTTTTTATTCATTTTAGTTTAAACAATATTTCCCCATCTGTGCTCCATTTGTTCTTACTAGTGCTGAATTTGAATATTAAAGTTGAATGTTTTGTTTAAGATTGTCTAACACTTATTCAACTTCGTAGCCACGGAAATAAAAGAGTTGGGAATGTGCTATGGCAAGTGCTGATTCGATCTACTTCCCACTCATGCCTAATGCTTGTGGTTCCCTCGTTAGGGTGGGACTGAGGTGATGCTCTTGCTGATAGTGGGGCGAGAGGCAGCACAGCCCGTGTTGGTGTCCCTAGCAGTGTCTCTGCGGCCTCAGCAAAGGTACTGGGGAAGATGAGACCCCTGGCAGATGTGAAGAAAGACCTGGGTCTGAGGTAAGGAAGAAAACTCAGTTTCTGACATGGGAAGAGAGCAGTAGGAGGAATCGGAATGGTCTTGGAAACAGTAATGGCATGTTCTGTGGGATGGATTCAAACACAAAGAAGAGGTACAATAAATATAGGCTTAATAGTCTATTGTGGGAGTGTTTATGCTGCTGTATTAAAGGGTTGCAGGTGACTGTCAGAGAAGCTCAGTCCAAATTGAATGGTCTGTCAAAATTCAGCTTTGCAATTAGCAAAAACCAACAAACATTTTTATTTGAAAGAGTTCTTGGTGCTTTCATATATGACAGTGAAATTCAGAGGTACCTGAATACGTAGTTGTTAGTAAAATGGATACGCACTGTTTTTACTTTGTATGATATTCCTGTCTGGTTTGTGGGAGAACTTGGAATACATGGTTTTCTTGCAGTGTTTTAATGTTCATCTGCATTAAATGAAACCTTTCTTAAAGTGTACTAATAAACAGTCAGGCATACCAGCTGCTGGGGGATCAGCAAACTTGAGCCTTTCTTCCCCTTGAGTGTAAAAAAACTTCCCTACCTATGATAATTATGTGCTCTTGCATCACCCGTTTTCATCCCTGGAGGTATTTAAAAGCTGCGTAGACGTGGCACTTAGGGGCATGTTGGTTGGGGACTTGGCAGTGCTTGGTTAATGGTTGGACTCCATGATCTTAAAGGTGTTTTGCAACCTAAAGGATTCTATGAGTCCATTCTAGTGCTGGTCACAGGTTTTGTGTGCCTAAACCATGCAACTGAAGTGACGTTGGATGTTCTGACTTTCTCCTGTGGCCAAGGAGAATGTTTAAATAGAGCTTCTAGGTTTTGAAGTAGTTTGTGGTAGCAGTAAGAATAGTGAAATTTTAACTCAAATTTTCATGAGCTTTCCTAATGCCAATGTTGAGGCAGAGAATTTGGGAAGCGTGTGGTAATGCTTCCCATGAATAGTCCCAGCATCCAGTGATTCATGGTTCAGATGCTTGCTGAGTAAGAAGTGGTATCTATTTTTACTGGTGCTCCAGGGGTTTTCCTTTTTCTAATAGACACAATCTTACAGTAATTGTGGTAGCCAACAACTTTCTTGCAAAAACAAGACCTGGGCAAAACTTGTATGTAGTTAAGCATGCTGCCTTTTCAGGTGGAAGAAGAAGCTACTAACCTCTCACAAAAATGTAGGAAGTTGGATGTCAGATGAAGAAATTCTGCCAAGCACAGTGTTACAGAATGAGCTTCAGCCCTTTCAGAAGCAAGCATTAGAGCTGGGTGGCAGAGGTGTTCTTCAAAATAGCTGCATTCAGTGTTTAAACATTTTTCCCATTAATTCATGTAACTTAACTTTCCCATACAGATGTAGCATAGTAGGTTAATTATTTTGATCAGACTACACGACTTCTTGAAGAACTCATAGAAAGAGAATGTGAAAATACCTGAAAGCAGGTATTTCATATCCTTACCCTCTCTAGACACTTGTCTGCTCTCTGTAATCCAACTCCTAATGATATGTTACTGGACAACACTACCTGCCTAGTGTTGCTGCATCTTGTGCCCTGTGAATGGGTGGTGTGGTGGACTAAAGTTCTTACAGAATTACTGTCCTGTAAAGACATGACATCACTTAACACTGACAAGTGCTGCTTTCCAAAAGAATATTCTCAAATTGTTCCATCTTGATTACTTGGTTGTGGATGAATTGTCTTCCATTTGACTGTACAAAGGCCGTTTTTGAGGAAACAAACAAAAAAGTATTAACATCTCCTCAACTTCTTAATGGCAATTTCAGGTACCAAAGATTGATTCACTTTTTGGATAATTCATCTTGGGAATCAAACCTTTCCATTGACTGTAGACATACTGATGGTTTTGCAAGCTAAGTTACTGTAATTGAATCATAAATGCTATATTTTTAAAATACTGTGTCACATCTGGTGTTCACAGAACTGTTGGGTTGGAAGGGACCACAGTGGGTCATCTGGTCCAACCAACAGGCAGGGCAAGGGAGGCTTTTATGAATGTATGGACAAGCTTTATGTCCACTCAGAAATGGAGGCAGGCAACTGCTTGTCTATTCCAAAGCAAATTTTGGTGCCATAGCTTGCATTACATTAGACTATATTGAACACCGAAGAGTTTACTGAATAAAAGTGTCATTAGTCACCCTATCCATGCTGATCTGGAGGCACCTTGGTGTTTGACACCCTCCCAGAAGGGTCAGCTGGGCCTTGTCTCAATGTGTTTTGTAGTCTCCAGCAACACCTGCTGGACAGAATAGATAACTGTACACTACATTTGTCTTTCAAGTGTTCATGGGCCAGTGTGACACTCGGCTCCACTGTGGGAAATCGTTGTCCTGTTCTGCAGCAGTGACTGAGCATTCTTGCCAGGAGTCATTTACGTAAGTGTCTTTTATTTTTTCACCCACACCTTTGGTTCTCTAGGCTTGGAGGCCATATCCTCATGATGTCACGGTATACGTGACTTGGTATGTAACACGTATATATGTTTAAAAAACGTGTGTGTGATGCCTATGAATATCACTGCTCTAGCTGGGCTGGAGCACTTGGGGCTAGAACCATGTCCAGCCGGAGTCCTAAGCAGGGCAGTGCCCTGCCTGAGCCCTCCCTTCTGCCAGGAACTGTGGAAACCCTCTGAGGGAGCACTGCCAGCTGCCCTGGTGACAGTGGCTGAGCTGACGTGCAGGGCCTCAGCTCAGGCAGCACAGCACAGAGAAAGCAGGGAGAAGTAGTAACTGGGCAGGATAGCACATAGGAAATTGAGGTCCTGCTTCTGTCTAAACAGCTGGGGGTGTTCAGCCTGGAGAAGGAGGCTCAGGGGAGACCTTATCACCCTCTGCAACTCCCTGACAGGAGGTTGGAGTCAGGTGGGGGTTGGTCTCTTCTCCCAGGCAACCAGCAGCAGGGCAAGAGGAAACAGCCTCGAGTTGTACCAGGGGAGGTTCAGATTGGGTGTTAGGAAATATTTCAGTACTGAAAGAGTTGTCAGGCATTGTAACAGGCTGCTCAGGGAAGTGGTGGAATCACCATCCCGGGAAGACTTCAAAAAACATGTGGATGTGGCACTTAGGGACATGGTTTAGTGGTGAACAGGGCAGTACTAGGCTAACAGCTGCACTCAATTGTCTTGGAGGTCTTTTCCAACATTAAAGATTTTGTGATTCTGAGTGACTGTCTCCTACATTGCCCCTGCTTAAACGGCCTTTTGCATTGACCATTTTCCAGTTTCCATTCCAAAACCTGTTATCAGATGGTTACTGCAGTACATGTGGGATTCAATTTCTTCTTTCTTTCTGCAAGTGTGGTATCTGTGGTGTTCTGTGCTATGGTGAATTCTGTAACTTGTGGGGACACATTATCAGCTAGGAGTGTAGAGTAAGAGATGTGTTACCAGGGAGGAACTGAAAGGTGACCTAATGCTCAGTGGTTTACTCCTTCATTATGTTTCTTTTGGTAAGTTTGAATAGAAATGCATGTCTTGTGCATGTGTGTGTAAATTACAGGAATCTACGGTGAAGCAGGTGTGCTTTGCTGGAATCCCTTTAAGGATTACTGTAGAAGACTTAGAAGTGAATGGAAAATTACCTGTTCTTCTAGGAGAGGCTGAGCTGCCA